TAATAGCGATGGCCTCCAACCTAATAGCGATGGCCTCCAACCTAATAGCGATGGCCTCCAACCTAATAGCGATGGCCTCCAACCTAATAGCGATGGCCCCCAACCTAGTAGCGATGGCCCTCCAATGCACGGACTTCCGAGGCACCTGAATTCATCGACGGTTTTCGCATAGATGGCTATCGTGCCTTGGCTCTCCACCGCACACAGTAACAGGACACCGGAGAGGTGATGTCACCGGAGCAGAGTGGTCACCTTCACATGATTTAGCACTTCAATTGGCAAAGAGGTTGGTGCCATGGATGGTATTTGTCATTGGATGGTATTTGTGTGCTGGCCTGCTGGATGTGAAGGTCGAATTCTCCCAATTCTTCGGGATTATACGCGCACGAATTTCCACCTGGCGGAAGCGTACAGGAGGGATTTTGGACTTGATGCTGATCATAAAGGATCCAGGAGTCCGCAAGATATGTTTGTCACAGCAGGATCAGCGGGAAACTCTCTTCCTCTACATTTGCAGCGATTTGCGAGCTATTTTTGGAGCCTTCATGCATGGTGTCACGCTCATGTGGTGTTTGGTCGTGTTGTGTGTTGGCTAGGGAGGTGAGGAGACGCAGTCGTCTCAAGCTGAGGGTTGCTATCCTCAGGACCTCAGTCCGTTCCGTCACACGGAGTGAGTCAGTCCGTCAGTCCGTGGAGTCGAGTCGAGCAGCGACGAGTCCAAGGAGGTACCGCACCGACCGGGCCTAAGCCGTCGGGCGCCGTCAGGTGTTGGAGGCCCAAGGGACATGCAGTTTTGGTCCACGTTTGGAAAACCCGCCATGTGTCGTGAGTCATGGCTTCTTCTCCCCAACTGGACCACCTGGATCTGCAGGGAGACGAGGGGACTTATGGTGACTTCACATGATCTGTGGTTTGCACTTCTTAGCAGGCACCTTTGAATCTTAGGCCTGTGTGACACGTGGCTTCAGGCCGGTCAGGATTTAGACATTCAGCCAAACGTAGACTGTAGACTCTTGATATCTCTTGATTAGTAATAGCCCCACATGAAGAGGTTTTTTTTGATCCAAATGGGATAAGGGACGGATGGTGGGAGCGAGCCCGCAAGTCCGTGCATCCAAATGGGATGGTTTGTGAATCAAGAGTCTATATATATATATATATATCTACTATTAGTTCAGCACCACCGCGACGTCCTGAGGATTCCATGCTGACACGGCACAATGAGACTCTTACCCAAAGAGCTGCTCGTGAGCTTTGTTCTCATGGGAAGGCATCGGTCAATGCAGATGTTGATGGGGACCACCTTGAAGCATGAAGCCAGAAGACCATCGAATGCCTTTAGATGCCTGGTCGGACCCAAACCCCACTTGTTGGCATCCCTTCACATGTCGGACAACCGGACCTCTTTTGAGTGTGAGTGGAGATCTGGCCCTCCACAGGTGTGGCGTTGACCCAAAATGCCTTTGGCACCCTGTCTGGACCTTCAGGAATGCTATCTTTCGTATACAGAAGACAACATAAGGATGATATGCGCAAAAGAGATTTGGCTCACTGCGATGAAGCGTCCATCACGGGGTAGAATAGATGCGAGAAAGACCACCTCCTCTTGCGTCCAATGCCGTTTCTATCTGGTTTGATGGACGGCTGTATAGAAGTGGAGGATTGGTTGGCATTTGTTTGCTCCAGCGCAGCTCCCCGATGGATGCCTGTATAGTCAGATCATGAAACAAGCAAACAGCGCTAGACTATTCCATGTGCATTTTGCTTGGCACAAGGGGCACTGCGATGCGGGTGGAGGTGGAAGCATTATGTGAAGGAGCCACCTTCTCCTGCAATTATAAAGTACCTAGACACTGCCTTGGCTTGGGCATGAAATTCTTCGTTCTTCGGTTGCGACCACCGATTCATTTGCTGCCATACCGTAGGCCATACCCTTAATTAGGTCTCTTCGTGGGTTCCTCAACCAAAGCCCGAAGTCGGCACTTTGATGCCGCTGTTACATCACCTCACCGCCGCCGATGCCAGTTGTCATGGTGACGCGGAGGACAAATAGCTGTCCCACAAACCGCATGCGCTCACATTCTGCAACTGGCGGTGCTGACACACGCAGACACAAGTCGCGTGCAGTCCGGTCCTTGCGGCGAAGAAAAGGCGCCAGCGTCCTTTGTATGCCAGAGTCCTTGCACAGGAACCCCACCAGAGTTCCATAGAACACCCCGTTTTCACGGTCCCGTCACGAACTTGAAGCTGAACCCCCTCCGTTTGGCCGTGTCACTCTGATTCGTTCTCTCTCCGGCAAGACGAAGCAAAACCTAAGGGCTCATCCTTTGAGTCCTACGACCGTGCCAATCTACGACCGAGGCCGATCCTTTGAGTGCTTGCAACGATTTGCTACCAGAGCCTGGAAGAACCTTGCAGGCGGTGCGGCGGGACGGTTGGAACGTCCGTTTTGGGGGCACGGCCGGGCATGGGGGGTTGGTGTCACAGTAGGCGGGAACAAGCTTTGGCCAGGGGTGTCGTTCTGGGATCTTTGGACTGATTTGGGATCTTTTGGATTCGCCGAAATCATCCGAAATCCTTCAAGCTATGTAGCATCCAAAGTTAGCCTTCAAGAAGCGAGTGACGAAGATGATCATTCCGTTCAGGAGACGTATGGCGGGCGGTTGGTGATCATCAGCAGAGGAGGCTGCCTTTTTGTCCAGCTCTTTGGCAAATATCCGCAGGGCCTTCGATAAAGACCAACGAGACTTTGCGACACCCGCGCATGGCATGCAGGGCCATACATCATGCACTTATTGCACCACAGTTCTTCCATCCAGACAGTTGTATTCTTTTGGGAGTTTTTGAGGAGTACAGGAAGAGTTCTAGTTGTGGGGTGTTGCCTGATCTCCGAAAGGGTGAATGATAATGTGAGAACCATGAACTCCATTTGGCCCAAGGCATTGGTCGCAAAATGACCTCCTATTACCAGCCAAGAACCCCTCCTCTAGGTTTGGTGAATCGTCATACCCGCGTCCCAATCATGGAAGTGGAAGAAAGAGCATTTGCCTCTACCAGGACCCACTGTCGGGGTGGTTCATGGACACCCCTTAACGATCCTTAACCTCTTTTCGGGGCTATCAATAGACATCCCTGGTCCGGGGGTCCTGGTACAAGCTGTTGGTGGTCCACGACTGCTGGGTCTCATCGAACCGGGAAACCGGGTGATCATCGAACCAGCGGTCCATCGGGGAACCGTGGTTTGCTGGGTCGAGAAGTGGTGGTTTCCCATATGGCTTTGATTTTCAACTCTGACTTGGGATGATTGAACACTGACATCCACTGACATTTGTTTTTCCCGTGTTTTCAGAGGTGAAACATGTGAAACCACCAACCAAGAGAGGTGTGATGTGCAGTCTTCTACCAGAACTCAATCTGTCTGTCGCGGTTCCAGCACATCGGTGCAGCCTTGATTCAACAAGCAACATATTTTTTGATTGAACATGCATTCCTATACCAGTGGACCTGTGTCCACTTCGCTTTGGTTCTGCAGGTCCATGAAATCTATCCCACCCACAATCGAGGTCGTCCGGTGACCATGTCGACCCTCGCTGTGTTGTAGTTCCCTCCGCACTCTAACATGGTCCAGCAGCCCATGGCGCCACTAGCTGCTTTTGGAGTAGGGAGTTTGTGTTTGTTTTTTTTTCTCCGGGGGGGTTATTTTTAATGTTTCTGCCTTGCTTCATTTCTGACACGGTTGACTCGGCCAAAAACCACAGCCGGACGCACGCACTCACACACTGGGTGTGGAATCTTGCCTTTAATGATCCTACCCAGGAAAGATGGATCACTTACAAGGACCCTATTCAGGTTACTGGGGATGCCCGTCGCAACAAGAACAGGTGACCAGTTCGGTTAAGTTAACCCTTTTACTTTAAGTTCCAGGGAAACTGATGGAGTCAGTGATTGATTGGGTCACCATGTTCTCGCGGACCGGATTGGTTTGCGCGCCTGGGTGCCACCCGCCAAGGAAACTGCTTCGTGCACAGCAAGCTGGTGCAGCAGGTGGGGAGCTACCTTGTGAAACATGGACAGGGGGGCAGCTTCAGAAGTCATGTGATCATATGATGGTATATATTGTATGAGGTAATTATGTGTATATATATATATGTATAACAATTGTAAATATATGTAAATTATATGCCCAATTATGTCTCTTCTCTGAAGCAGTGATCAGGAACCGCAAGAAATTGGCACCTCACCACTTGCTGAAAGGATTTCCAGCACATGCGGCCAAAAGAAGAGAATCATAAATAATAATGTTACTTTTGTGTATTTCGGGGGCAGCTCATAGGCAGATCGACATGGATAGGGATCTTCACAGGTCCAGACCGAACGAAGGGATGGCCCAGGGATGGCCCATGTGATTTTGTGTGTGTTTTTCTTTTTCACTTTTTCCAGGAAGGCTAGAGTCGAAAAACATCGAAAAACATCAGATAACGATTAATGTTGGATCTTGATTAGTAAAAGGGATCCCACCCTAAACACATCGGAGGGCATCTACAACAAACTACCACCAAAGCAAATCTGGTTCCTGGGAGGATTCCTTTTGTAATTGATTGTAGTATTCATTGTTCTTTCTCAGCAATCCTTGTACTACTAAGAAGAGTACAAAGAAGGTTCTCGGGTTCTTTGCGGCTTTGGAGAAGAACTAGAGAAACCTATATTTATCAGTACTCTGAGCAAGCCGGCCCTTGGCTTAGTAGTATTACGACTAAATATATAAAGTGTTTGAGGAAAGCACTTTGCACAATTGAGTGTCCTTAAACCAAATGTATTATTAAAGATCAAGGGCCTTCCTGGTCTACTACCTTGAAAATTTGTTTAGGAGCAATCTTTACAAAAAGGATTGATTAAGGAGTTGATGGCCTTGGGAAGCTGTCAGTTTTGAAGAAGAACTAGGGATGCCTATATTTATCAATGCTCCCGGCAAGCCAGCCATTGGCTGCTTAGTAGTATTGAGAACACATTTTGTATTTTTATTGCGGAAGCAGCGTTGCACAATTGAATGTTTTTTATTGAGGATCAGGAGCCTTCCTGGACTAGTACCTTGCTGTCTTTAAACAAAGGACTGATTGAGGAATTGGTGGCTTTGGGAAGCTGTCAGCAGAAGAAGCCTAAGTTTATCAATACTCTCAGAAAGCCAGCCACTGGCTTAGTAGCATTAATAATTTTTATATTGTGATGAAGTGAAACTCAGAACTTAGAACACATTTTGAAAAGATGTTGTGCAGGTTTTGAGTCCTAAAAGAGGACTTAGAACATTCACTCGCCTGTGTGTTTACCTTAGAGCATTAACCAAAGTTTGCTGAACTTAGAAAACTATACTTAGAACATGGGTTAAAAAGCGTTCAACCAGCTGCAGGACAGACAACATAGAACAGGCACCATGACCATACCAACCTGAAGATGTATGTAGCAGGGGTGTATACATATATATATATATATGTAACTTGGACGAAATTGAATTAAGAATAAATAGGATTCAATAGGAACCAAAGAAAGCTAAGAGGAACTCAATAGGAATCAAAGGGAAGTTCGAAGAACATCCATAGGAACCAAGAGATTCAAAAGGAGCTGACAAGGAAATCAATAGGAACACAGAAGGAAATTGCGAATGGAAGTGCAGCGACACGTACAGTGCAACTTGTACATATATATGTACCATATGTACTTTGGCTCAAGGATCAAGCGACTAGAAAAGGTGCGGTTTCCGTTCCGACGCTACGCCGCTTATGGACCGTCAGTGATAGCTTCAAACTTCGCTGATTAAGATCCACTCGCAGGTTATCAGCCGTACGCGCTCTTTATAGCCGTACGAGCTACACGAGACCAAGAACAAGACTAGTCATTACAGAAACCTGCAATGTCAAGCTCAGGAGGAAATGGAAGCGAACCCTATTCATTCGCTGCTCCTGGTGGTCCCAACACCATTTCGTCACCAGACTCTACAATGGGTACTGATTCATCAGCAAATGCTGACGTTATCACTATGCCTACTGGATCACAAATCTCGGAAAGATCCGTGCCACCGGCTCGGAATCTGACCGATCTTGCACCCGTAGGACCAAGAAGATCGATGAGAGCTACAACAAGATCTACATCGCCTATAACGTCTACCGCGAGATCCCCAAGAAGGAGTATAGAGAAGAGACGTGACGATGATAGAGGAACAAAAGAGCAAAGAAGAGAGATTCAGCTGGGTGAAGAATTGAGATCGGCGAGAAACGCATACAATTTTCTTCATGAAGAATATGAATGCATCCAAGCCGGATACTCACGACTACACCACGAGGCTGAAGTGGAGTTCAGGCAAATGTCTGACTACAACAGGAAGATGCAGGAACATCTACAAGAGATGACACAGGAAGATGAAGGAGCGACAATAAGAATTGAAGAGCTCGAACACAAGCTACGCTTGGCGGAATCGACAGCTGAACATATCTACATGAGATATCAAGAGCTTGCACAAGAAACTCATCAAGAACATTCAGAGCTTGAATCTGTGAAAGCAACGAAGGACAGAATGTCCCAAGAGCTTCAAGCAGCAATTGGACACATCCAAGAACAGAATGAATCTTCATTGGCGATCAATAGAAGATCAAAAGCCATTCAGGATGAGAACATAGCCTTCGTCGGAATAGCTGACCAGATACAAGCTAGAATGATTGCGCTACAGGATGAGAATGTCAACATGCACGAGGTGATCCAACACCAGAGAGAAGAACAATGGAACAGTGAGGTCAGGGAAAGACGTCTTCAACACAGTGTTCACTCATCTCAAGATCAGAGCAATCAGGAAGCTATGGTTATTGATCATCTACGAGGTCAACTAGCTATGTCACGTGGAGCTGAACTCAACGCGAGAGCGGAGATAGGAGAGATGGAAGTGGGCATGAGGATGGAGATGTTTGTATGCCAGACTGAAGTCTCTGCTAAAGAAATGGCAGAAATGAAGGCGAGCCACCATGAATACGAAGCAAACGTCGCAAAGGAGGTTATCGCAAAAGGAGAAATATTCAACAACGAAGTCCTAGAAAGTTCCATCCGTGAACGACAACAATTGAAAGACGTCAACCTCGCTCTATCCGAAGCCAACGCACAGCTGAAAAGAGAGAATATGATGAGAGCTCCTATGTTCGGCGATGATGGTGCTGAAATTCAACAGAAGATCAGAGAACTGGAGAATGCACTATTGGAAAGCCAGAAGGAGACAAAGAATGTCATTATGGAAAATGCGAAATTAAAAGCAGAAGCACGAATGGCACCCATAGTCTCTCGGTACAGCAAGCGTCCTAGTTCCAGAGACCGCGGGTTACCAACCCACGCGTCCGAGGAAGATGAGATTCGGAACGCAAAAGAGGAGGCGAAGCACTACAAGGACGGGTACAATGAAATGACAGAGAGCCGAGATGAGATGTATGAATGGTATGCCGAAACCCACAACGAGTACGCCGAGGAAAGGGAGAAATCAATTGAGCTATCCGAGGCGAACAAATCATTGAGGGACAAGATTTCAGAAGCAGAAGCATCCTCTTCATCTCATCTTACACCGGCAACCTCTACAATCATGAAAGTATCGAGGAAGGAAGAATCAAAGATAAACGTTCCGTCATGGCCCAGGATCAATGATCTTGGACTATGGAAGGCAAATCTCATTCAATCGATCATCATTGCGGCCAATGATTCAGATCAAGAGCCCTGGATCGACTGGATCAAAGAAGCCATGGACGATCCTGATCCGGACAAGTTTGTCGACTCAGGAGACCAAAGATTCCATTCAATCGATGCCAAACTCGGCCTAGCTCTTACCAAGGTCGTCATGGATGCGAAAGATGATGGTTCAGGTGTAGCTATGAAGTTGAGGACGAGGATCAATGCAAAAGGGAGAACATCAAGCCTCATAAAGGGAAGAGAGGTCCTAGCCCTGATCCTTATGAATTTCAAGACAACATCAAATGTGGAAGTCTTATATACTTCAATGCACCTCTACCAACTAGAATATCAAGGAGACAAGAACTTATCGTTGTTCTTCCACACTTGGGATGAGATTCTGGCAGGAATGAAGCCCGTTGACGTCCCGAGCGACGAAACTCTTCGGGATCTCCTATGGAGAAAGATCAGGAACTCAAACCTCATGGCATACGACATCAGCGCCTACAATAGCATGAACGACGATGATGCCAAGAAGACATACAAACATCTACGTGATATGATCAGAAGGCACATCGAACGGCAAACTGAAGACAGGATGATCCTGGAAAAGGAGAAGGCAGTGAAGAATGTGGCCAATATCTTTCAGAATCTCAAACCAGGCGGACCTGCTCCAAAACTGAAAGCTGCACCAGCTGATCCGAAGAAGAAACCAAAAGGGCAACAAGAACAGGTTGTCTCAGAAGACGCTGCTGCAGTGAAGCCGAAACCCAATCCCAAGAAGCATCCTGAAGACAAGAACAAAAAGGGAAAGGGGAAAGGTAAAGGTGATGGAAAGGATCGCAGCCGAAGTCCGAGTACAGACAAGAAGAAGATACCATGCAAATTCTTCGTGAAAGGTAACTGCACTATGGGGAAAGATTGCCCATTCAGCCACAAGAAACCCAGATCACCATCCAGAGGATCTTCTGTCGGAAAGAATGACAAGCCAGTATGTTGGATGTGGATTCGAGGAACTTGTGACAAAGGGAAGGATTGCAAGTTCTACCATGACCCAAAAGCCTCTCCTAAGAAAGGGATATCTGCACCAGCTGACTCAGGAGACGATAGGCCAAAGCCCAAGGCAAAACCCAAACCGAAGCCTAAGGCGAAGCCTGGAGCCCCAGCCATTGACGGTGAACTCTTCATGGACGAATCCGAAGATGAAGGGATTGCTGCATCCGCCAAGGCAAGAGAAGGAGGTGCAAAAGTATCCTTTGATGAAGAGACTTGTGAGATCATGTTGAACGAAGCGATCTACTCAGTCAGGGACAAATGGAAGGTAGTAGAAAAGAAACCTCTACGTCCGGACA